CCCCCCCCCCCCCCCCCAAACACACACACACACACACACAAAAACAAAGAAAAAAATAAATGATACAATTGGGATTTAGATTCTCTCAATCTCAAATTTCATTAATTTCAATCAAGTTTTAGCATTTACCATTAAATTAATGTAATGCTTATGAAATTAAAATCCAAATGTCTTTTTTTGCGCAAAATAATGTAGGGACTATTTTACTTTAATCTAAAGTAAAAGATTATTAATATTGTATTATTATTTAAAAGAATGCACTAACACATCATTCTGCGTGACAATTCTCACGAATTTTTTTTTTGTGAAGTATGTTTTAGTCAAAATTGGGTGTTAGTGAGTCCCTTTGAATCATAAGTGAGATCAATTGAATTTAACATTGGATGAGGGAATATAACCAAAAATGGACAACTCGTTTCTTTATTTTAACGTGATACTCTCTACAATTTAGTTTTTGACCTGGCTAAAAAAAATTAATTTTAGAATTAATTTGTTGAAAATATTAGATTGTGGGTATTATATTTGACGTGAATAATATTATATTTATGGAGTTTTGAAGGTTTTTTTAACATTTTATTGAAAATACGATGATGTATATTGTTTTATGGGTTATGTAGTCAACTTTTTTTTTAAGTTTATAAAAAATGATATTTATAATAGGGAATAGATAATTAAAAGAGATGTTAGAGATAATTTAAAGATTTAAATATATAAAATAAAATAATAGTTTAAATAAAAAATTATGAAATAATAGAATAATTTTTATAATTTTTTATAAAGATAAAATAAAGAATTAAAATTTTTTCATATTAGTTTTTGAATAATACTAGATGGACTTAAAAATTAGATTTAAAAAATTAGACTCGATAATTTCAACTATTGAATCGGTAGTAGGTTTCAATAAATGTTAGGACTCGTAATAAAATTAATGGTTAAAATTATCAAATTTAATTTTTAAATTTAATTTTTAAATCCATATATCATTTGACTTAGTTTTTATTAGTGTATTGTGCTCTTAGCTTTTATTAGTATATTGTGCTTTGCAACGGGTTCTGCAACAATAATATTAACTCTCCTGTATCGCGCGTTTTCTGCACTCACCGTCCAAATACATATCGTAAAAGGCGGGGAGCAACCTCGTCATCTTCCCCATTTAAAAATCANAAACTTTTTTTTTTTAAGTTTATAAAAAATGATATTTATAATAGGGAATAGATAATTAAAAGAGATGTTAGAGATAATTTAAAGATTTAAATATATAAAATAAAATAATAGTTTAAATAAAAAATTATGAAATAATAGAATAATTTTTATAATTTTTTATAAAGATAAAATAAAGAATTAAAATTTNGTAAAATAAAATAATAATTTAAATAAAAAATTATGAAATAATAGAATAATTTTTATAAAGATAAAATAAAGAATTAAAATTTTTTCATATTAGTTTTTGAGTAATATTAGATGGACTTAAAAATTAGATTTAAAAATTAGACTCGATAATTTCAACCATTGAATCGGTAGTAGGTTTCAATAAATGTTAGGACTCATAGTAAAATTAATGGTTAAAATTATCAAATTTAATTTTTAAATTTATTTTTTAAATCCATATAGCATTTCACTTAGTTTTTATTAGTGTATTGTGCTCTTAGCTTTTATTAGTATATTGTGCTTTGCAACGGGTTCTGCAACAATAATATTAACTCTCCTGTATCGCGCGTTTTCTGCACTCACCGTCCAAATGCATATCGTAAAAGGCGGGGAGCAACCTCGTCATCTTCCCCATTTAAAAATNGTTTTAAAACACACATTTCCATCCTTTTTTGGTTTCTATTTCTTTCTTTATGTGGTATCCAAATTTTGCAATTCTCCGTTTGCATGGTCAACTTCATTGAGTTTGTTAGTAGAAGAATTTGAAATGAGGGCGTTTTTCTGTACTATTATCTGATGCAGACCTCAATTTGATCTGGAACCTTCTTTCGGTTAGAAGATCAAGTGAACTGCTAAGGGTTCCAAATTTTCGTCATTTTTTTGCTAACTCTGTCTTCTGGAGATCAAGTGCTACATGTTATTAATGTCCATTCACCTTTGATGCACATATGCAAGCAAGAAGCACGTTTTACTTGCAATTTAGATCATCTCCAGTGTTGTGCGCTTACGTTGGATTTGATATCTAAGTAATATAAATGGTCTGTGAGATGGAGAATGACCATATCGACGAAATGGACATTGAAGTCCTTTCTTCAATGTGGCCTGAAGATATAAACGAAGCTGGAAAGCAATTTAACATAGAAAAACCAGGAGTTGATCAAGATATGTTGGAGGATATTACTCTCATGGAGGAGCCTACCATAGTTGATTTCAAGCGTCTCTTAGAGCTAACCAACTACAGTGAGAAGGGCTCCTCTCAGTTGGCTTATCTTGTCAAAAACTGGGAATATAAGCAAGCCAATGCTGTACGACTTCTTAGAGAAGAGCTGGACCACCTTAACAGACAACAGCAAGAAGTTGAGCTCAAGAAATTGGAGATATTGGAGGAGCATCGTTTTGAGGAAGAAGGATACGGTGGCGATAAGCGTCCAATTTCTGTTATGGACGAAATTTATGATATATGGCAAGATGTTCCTCGCAGGAGAAATGATGTTGTAGTTCAAGATAAGAGACTGGAAATAGATGCCGAGTATGACACTGTTGTATACTGGAAGCAGCATGCTATGCGGTTAGAGAAACTATTGGAGGCAAGCATCCAGCGAGAGCAGGTACTGCTTGAGAAATTGCAGGAAAGCATAGAAAATCTGGAAAGGCAGTCGTCACCAGTGGAGGAATTGTCCCAGATTTTGAAACGAGCAGATAATTTCTTACATTTTGTTCTTCAAAATGCACCAGTTGTTATCGGCCATCAGGTAATTTTGGACAGATGTGGTTTATGTCTACAGCTTGCTACTTTGGCCTAATGTTAATAATTTCTTGAAGTGTCCTGATTCACTTTNTAAGGCATGCTGTTCTTCCCTTTTGTGCAAGGCCTTGTGTTGGCATGGTGAATTCTTGTTCCTTAGGAGGCTTGGATTTCATGTAGGATTGTCAAGTAAATCATTGAAGATACTTAAGCTGAAGTATTTTAAAACACACATTTCCATCCTTTTTTGGTTTCTATTTCTTTCTTTATGTGGTACCCAAATTTTGCAATTCTCCGTTTGCATGGTCAACTTCATTGAGTTTGTTAGTAGAAGAATTTGAAATGAGGGCGCTTTTCTGTACTATTATCTGATGCAGACCTCAATTTGATCTGGAACCTTCTTTCGGTTAGAAGATCAAGTGAACTGCTAAGGGTTCCAAATTTTCGTCATTTTTTTGCTAACTCTGTCTTCTGGAGATCAAGTGCTACAGGTTATTAATGTCCATTCACCTTTGATGCACATATGCAAGCAAGAAGCACGTTTTACTTGCAATTTAGATCATCTCCAGTGTTGTGCGCTTACGTTGGATTTGATATCTAAGTAATATAAATGGTCTGTGAGATGGAGAATGACCATATCGACGAAATGGACATTGAAGTCCTTTCTTCAATGTGGCCTGAAGATATGAACGAAGCTGGAAAGCAATTTAACATAGAAAAACCAGGAGTTGATCAAGATATGTTGGAGGATATTACTCTCATGGAGGAGCCTACCATAGTTGATTTCAAGCGTCTCTTAGAGCTAACCAACTACAGTGAGAAGGGCTCCTCTCAGTTGGCTTATCTTGTCAAAAACTGGGAATATAAGCAAGCCAATGCTGTACGACTTCTTAGAGAAGAGCTGGACCACCTTAACAGACAACAGCAAGAAGTTGAGCTCAAGAAATTGGAGATATTGGAGGAGCATCGTTTTGAGGAAGAAGGATACGGTGGCGATAAGCGTCCAATTTCTGTTATGGACGAAATTTATGATATATGGCAAGATGTTCCTCGCAGGAGAAATGATGTTGTAGTTCAAGATAAGAGACTGGAAATAGATGCCGAGTATGACACTGTTGTATACTGGAAGCAGCATGCTATGCGGTTAGAGAAACTATTGGAGGCAAGCATCCAGCGAGAGCAGGTACTGCTTGAGAAATTGCAGGAAAGCATAGAAAATCTGGAAAGGCAGTCGTCACCAGTGGAGGAATTGTCCCAGATTTTGAAACGAGCAGATAATTTCTTACATTTTGTTCTTCAAAATGCACCAGTTGTTATCGGCCATCAGGTAATTTTGGACAGATGTGGTTTATGTCTACAGCTTGCTACTTTGGCCTAATGTTAATAATTTCTTGAAGTGTCCTGATTCACTTCTTTTGCGACACACTTGTCAAGTTAATCTCCTTCCTTTTCGTTTGTGATTTTTGGTTTCTCCAAACTGCATTTTTCATTTTCTGGACAAAGTTAGTGTCAAGGTTAATGATAACATAAGTTATAGATTTCTCTGAGAGGGAAATGTGTATACAAAGTTGATCATACTGGTGACTACTTTTTTGACAAGAAATGGAACTGTTTGGCATATTACAGTATTTTGCCAATGGTTAGTGCCACACTGTGTAATGTGCTCCAGTTTTTTTATGTGTGGCCTTAATGTCATGTTGCAGAAACAAATTCTGAAGGCCTAGGTCATTAACTATTTGAGTCCTGATAGGATCCAGATTTATTGATTATTAACCATATGCTCCAAATAAATGCAACCAAGTACCCTTCTAATAGGATATTTGCCATTTCTTGAAACATTCGTCATGTTATCCATAATATGACTTGTATTGCATAAATATGATTTAAATATAACTACTTATCACAATCTCCTGTAAATACATTTGTAATATGTGTGCCGAGTTCCTTATTTTTTACCTTAAGTTTAGGCCTAGTGATATTCCATCAGTTAAAAGCTCCTTATCAACCTGTAATGTTGTTTTTGACAGTTGCTGTAGCCAAGTCCACAGTGAGAGTGATAGTCTCTCTAATGGGGGCTTGGCTTTGCTTTTTGAAACTTTTCTTTACTGAAGCTACAGGTGATTAGTTTTCCACCTCCTCCGAGCTTCTTTATTGTGAATCCTATTATTACTCTAAAGATTTCATGTTAATCACCACTTTCCAGACTTTTGTAGTGATTGTGAACATATTATGTGAGTCAGTTGAGTTACATGACATGATCTTCTCATAAGCATAAATTGCAACTTAGCATATCTTTCAACATCTTTGAACATGAATGTGAATCAATGATTATAGTTCATTTGGTTTTTAATGTGCTTAAATTAACTAACTGTTATGATATGCTGTGACTTACATATTGAAATTGTATCAGTATCTATGATTTATGGAGCAATTTACGCATCGAATATCTGTTCTAGCAAATTTTTTAATACTTTGTGTTTTCCTCTAAATACTTGATAAAAACAGATGGAAAAACAGTCACTAAAAGTTGAATGATGGTAGCTGATTCATATCAATGTTACAAGTTCTTCTTCCTCTTAATTAATGATGGCTCAAGATCCTGTTCTCTGTTGGTTCACTATCTAGGCCATTTCTTTTTTTTAAAACACATTTTATTTTGGTGTAGTTCTTCTCTTTTCAGTTGTTTCGTTTTTAATTGTCTTATTTATCTTGGTCTAAAATTATGTCCTGGCCTAATCTTTCCATGCCTTTTTGTTAAGTTTAGTGCTGCTTCTTTTTATTATTTGTGACCTTGTTCTTTATTCTTCATCACGGGCATATTGTGGTTTTAAGGGACTGTTCATTATTTTTCCTTTCAGGATAAAGATCTTCGCTATCGCTTCATCTATAATCATTTCCCGAGTTTGCGAGAGGAGGTAATAGCCTGACAACATTCTCCCTCTTTAAACAGTATTTTTCTTCTACTGACATAGGAACTCCTCAAATTCTCTATTTTTTCAGGACATCATAGGAAAAACAGATGTGGAAATTTTCAGGGGTGCTGGTGTCAAGGAATCCCAAGATTTCAAAAGAGAAGTTCTAGAGCGAGGATCTCCTGCAAAAAGAGAAATTACGTTTGAGACAGAGTTATTTGGGTCAAAGACATTCCTTATATACGTGGAACCTGTGTTCAGCAAGGCAGGAGATAAAATCGGTGTTAATTATATGGGAATGGAAGTAACTGATCAGGTAGACTCACTTTTACCATTCATCTTCTCTTGATAGGTTCTTGGTCTTTCACATAATGTTGGTGTTGGGAGTGCTTGCTTATTTTGCTGTATTATGACTGGATAAGTGACTCCGACCTTGAAAAGTTGATCGCAAACAGTTTTTTTTTTTTTTTGTGAGATTTAATAGTGTGGGGTTTACAGGATCTGAGAAGAAATTTTAATTTATTTGATGATATATCAGTAACAATGTCCGGGAAGTAGTTAATTTTTGAGATACATATGCCTCAGATCATTAAATTGATTTTGTTCCATGTTTAGATTCGATGTTTAGTTTAATCCAGACTAAAGAGTTTTTTTTCAATGTCCAAAGCCTGTGCCCTGCATAATTCCATGATTTCAACATTTCACAAAGAGTAATCAACCAAAGTCGATAAATTTTCTAATACATCATATGTAGAAGATGCAGAACCAGATGAAATAATATGTTGCTTTATATCGTTGTAGACTCAATGAGAGTTTCCAAAATCTTGAGCTGGAATGTACTGGTTTGCTGACTTGGTTCTCCTGATTTAATATCAGCATTTGATCTGAGTGCCTGCAGAATCCTTCTTCATCTAGTTGCTCGATATTTAGCCTGTGTTAGTTCATATTTTTTTGAAACAATATCAAGATGGGACTCACACTTCTTGGCCTCATGTGGACCTTATGGAGGGGATTGAGCTCGGTACTGGTCCTCTGAGCACTTAGAGCAGGAGCTTCCTTGAAATATGCTCTATGCTCAGATTTCTGTAGTGGAGTCTTCTCTCTTTTTGATCAAAGAGTTGTTCTCTGTGTCTAGAGGTTCTTTTGTTGATCTCTTAGATGGTGTGTTCAGATATATTTTGTTAGCTCTTTTGTTTTTATGGCCCACATGTCGATGGGTTGTGCCCCTGTTTTGGAGCTTCTTAATTATTGTTTCATTGTCGCTTTTTCTTTAGCTAACAAATAATTTTTGTAGTATGGTAAAATGGCTGCAAAGCTATACCGTGTTCAATTTTTTGTTGAGTTCATCTTAGCTAGTATCCAGGAAAAATTCCTTTCATGTCTGTGTTTGTGATCTCATTCTATACGTTGTGCAAATTTTTGTTCGGTTGACTTTGATCTAAAGAAATCCATCATTGTATAGACATAGATGTTTGTCCTCTTTGATGCTCTCAAAGCTTTCTCAATTCCTTTTAAAAATTTGTAGCACATCTTTTAGTTCCCTTACCTTTCCCCAACAGAAATGAGGGAAATATGTTTTTCTNCCTATACGTTGTGCAAATTTTTGTTCGGTTGACTTTGATCTAAAGAAATCCATCATTGTATAAACATAGATGTTTGTCCTCTTTGATGCTCTCAAAGCTTTCTCAATTCCTTTTAAAAATTTGTAGCACACATCTTTTAGTTCCCTTACCTTTCCCCAACAGAAATGAGGGAAATATGTTTTTCTTATAGACCACGTGTATTTCTTCTTGCTTTACTCATTAAATTACGTGTTTCAAAATGGAAAAAGGTCATCAGAACCTTAGGTTTATGAAAGCCGCTGATTTACTTTGCTTCTTATTGGTGTTGGACAACAGGTGAGAAAAAGAGAAAAGATGGCAAAGCTTCGAGAAGAGATTGCTGTACAAAAGGCCAAGGAGACAGAGCTGAACAAAACGATTCATATAACAGGTTTATCACATAAAGCTAATATGAGTTATTGGTTTTTCTTGAATCAGCTTTAAGCACAGATTGTTTAATCTTACCTATTTGTTCTTCTTACAGAGGAAACTATGCGGGCCAAACAAATGCTAGCGACCATGTCTCATGAGATAAGATCTCCTTT